ATAGTTTGAATTTGTAATACTTTAAAAAAGAAAACAGGTAGTAGATTGAATTAAACTAGTTAAGTTATTAGAAGCTTTTACTTCTTCAACAAGATTTTGCTTAGGAGAATTAAAAATAAAACTAATATTACCATTAAACCACTTGCGTAAATACCAACCAAGAAAACGTTGACAGCTACAACTTGATTTGTGTCAGCTAAATGCCATTGTATTCCATTACGTATATTTTTTTTAGAAGTGTATATAGAGATTAGCAGCAGCAGCTTTCCCATTTTCCTCGTCCCCCCATGACTGACACTTTTTATCCTGTCCATATCTTTTGGATACGGATCCCCGACTAGTTGGACAGATAGCCTAGGAAAATTTTTAGCTTTAGTTTGCTGCTAATGAGCAATTCATGTCAATTGCTAATTAGTGCGCTGAAGATTCCTATCCGCCTGTCTGAGCTGCCTGAAATGCCTCAGTGACTGACTTATCCGGCTATCTGGTCATTTTTATGGCCCAAAGAAGCTCCCGGGCCAGCGAGACACAATGGCCGAGAAATTAGCAAACCCATGGCAAGATAAGTCAATTAGGTTTGGCTTTATAGCTGCTCGGCTAGTGAAAACAAAAGGAGCAGAAAACGGCAGCCGAAGGCCGGCAGAGTCGAAGGAAAACCAAATCAAATAAAATGAGGCCAAAATAAAGGCAACAATTAATAAACGCAAACAGAGTGAAAGAGAAACGACAAACGAGGACGAGCCAAAGCTGCCAAAAAGGATGGCGGAATGGGCCGATTTCAGTGGGTGGGTGGACGGATAAGGAGGATGGCATTGGCGGCTGGGTGTTTGAAGGATGTGGGGGCCGTGAATGGTGAACGGTGAACGGTGGCCAGTGGGCGGTGGGTGGTGGGTGGTATTCGCCTGTGACGTGTATGGGCAATTTAAGCTGGCATCGGACAAGCAACTGACAGGAGGGAACCGAGTCTGATGCTCTTGTTACTGAGACCTGAGGCCCCCAGAGACGCAATTGTTACATTTAATTGTGATTTTTGTCCTGGTCGGAGGGGCCAAGATGCCCCTGCCCCACATCGAATTACATTGAAAGCAAATTCAAGGTGTTTCATTAATAATTTATCTGTATTTTTAGGTACAGGTTAACTAAGCCAAAGCAGTTTGGCAATTTGGTAGGGCAAAACATTTAATCAAGCAAGAGTTGTTACATTTATACGCTTTAAATATTTTAAAGAGAAAAATCCACTTAAAACTAGTTTCTTATCAAATATTTACAGAGCTATTATCTGGACAAAAGTGCTTTTTGTGTCAGCAAATTAATCGTCTTTAAACAAATGCACTTGGATAAATACGCATTTGTTCTTATCAAATTAATTAACAATAACTCATGCTCTGATCTAAAATGCTTAAATACAACCAGCAATAAATAATGATAGATGTTTGGTTTGTGTTTACATACTTAAATATTTCACCTACTTTATTTGAACATGTATGCAAATAAATTGGATTTATAAGCAGCAAACAAATATATTTGAGAACATTTAAATTAAACTATAGAGATATAGCTTTTTTATGGAAATTTACGTATGTTTTTTTGAGTGCACCCGTAAAGCTGCTTGGGATCCATAAAATATGCAACCTTTTTTTCTAGCTTCCCCCTTGGCTTTGAGTGAAAGTAATCCGAAATGCTGTCATTAGGCCGAGTCCAGAGCACAGAGCATAGAGCCACAATTAAGATTGACTTGAAAGCCGTCCGTCCAGACGGCGGGCTAATACCACGACAAGGACATCCAGTATATCCTGCAAACCAATCCAATCTCCAGACCGAGAGTTATGGCTTTGTCGAAAAGTGGACTATGATTCTGGTGCGCATCGCCCCAGCCTCTGGTTTTATCTTGTGGGTCATTTCTCATAATTTTCCACAGCTCGAGAATTATTGCAAAAGTTAATATTAATGACGTTGATGAAAATCTTGTCATTCGTGTTACCAAAAAAAGCGAAAGAAACCTTCGTTATGGGCCACATAAATAAAGGAGCTGCGACCAGGACCACGGACAAAAGCCAGAAGCGTTCGCCAAATTGATAACCACCGAAAAAAGAATAAGAGCGGAGAAGAAATATTCCTCCACGGCTGCATGTGCCACCACACAAAGGAAAGCGAGCCACAAAAACCTCGTCCTTGCCGCCATTTACATTTGAAAGAGCCTGCGAAGGCCTGAAGGTGAGGAAAATAAGGAGCACACTGGCAGAAAAAAAAGGTATCAAGGAATGGATCTAGGTTTAATTTTTGGGTACATGGCTTGTAGTTTCCAACAAGAAGATAAAGGGTACAGTCGGATGTAAAAGAATATTAAGTTAACATCATTTGTTAACAGTTGCTTACTTTTATATTTAATACATTTCTTAAATTTTTACTAAATATTTTTTATGCATGGAATTGCAGTAAGTTTTTCTTAGTGCAGGAGGCTTATTAGACTTGGCCGCTGTTCGTGGCTCTGCCGCTACTGCTGCTGGTGATATAATTTTAATAACTTACATAATATATTCTTTTGTGTGGCCAAGCCACATAATTGTTAGAAACATTAGGCAAATCATTAGCCCAGCACGAAAATGGGAGGCAGGCGTTCGGTTAGCTGACGCAATTTGGCAAAAATGTTTTTGTGTTTGCTTTTAGTGGCGACAAAAATATCTTCACCCACATCACATACCCATGGATATGGGAAAACTTTCAAGCCGGCTAAGGAAAATTACTTCCAGATAAAGTGCCACGGGCAGCTGTTTTTCTTGGGAATTAGTCATGAAAGACATAGAGTTTATCAAGGTTACTATGCCGTGGCAATCGCCTTTGAATTTGTTGGCGGTGATCCATCAATATTTTTGCCCTGCCACAAATATTGAACAATCAAAGTAATTCTTGGCAGAGGTTACCAAAGTGTGGAACAAAGGAACCCTTGGAAAGTTTTCTGGATGGAAGATTGATTTACATTTAGGATACGGGTTTTCTTCAATTAAGAGCAGGTAGGATATTTTATATAAAAAATACTATCACATACCAAGAAACATACATATATTTTTAAATTATTATGTCAAAAACATTAATTCTATATATTTTGTAAATCTACTTTATATTCTCAAAATTTTAAGTAGGGGAGGGTGGTCCCATACCGACCCCCTAAAAGGCAAAGGCGATAAAGGTGAGAAAAATCAATTTTTCAGTTCAGTTCAAAAATTTACTATGTAGAGGGATCAGTTTACTATACATCTAAATGATTAGTAAGTGCGTAGGTGCTTTGAAGCGTTAGATATTCAGGCAAATATAAAACTCTACTTTTTGGTCGTACTCAAAAGTAGTGGTCCGAAACCGACCCCCTATTTCTTAACAGAAAAATTTAATAACATAAAATAGAATTTAATGATTTTGACGTTTATTAAGAAATATATTGAAGGTTCTTTCCAGAAAATAAAAATTAATGTATGAAATAAAGGGCACTCTAGTCAATTGATGAAGTCTGAGTTGTCCTCTTTCTCATAGTAAGTTTTCGCGTTGTTTTCGCGTTGTTTTTCGAAAGCCGCTCGTTGATGACTGTCTCTTCGCTTTCTTCTGATCTTTTTGCTGTTTCTGTTACTTTTCTTTACTGAATCTTGTTTACTTTTTCATATTTTCCCTCAAAAATACGCTATGACATATTAAGCTGCCAATAAATGGGGGTCGGTTTCGGACCATCACCTAGCGGTCGGTTTCGGACCACCACGACCTTTTCTGATTAACTGCTCGGCATTAACTAAAGACGCAAAGAGCGATGTAATTCTAATTATGTGAGTGAAAGCTAGGACTATCAACGATCAGAAAAATTTACTCTCCGATTTTTATGCGGAGAAAAAAAATTTAAGCTCAAGTTCAGTAAAGCTCAAAAATAAATGTCACAGGCGTTGAAACAAAACAAACGGAAAAATTGCAGTGAAACAAAATAAGTCAAAGTGGCTATCTATCTCCAAAATGTCTGTGTTATAACAGCTTTTCACTGAAGTTACCGACAATTCGGCTAGCATCGCCATCTCTGAGAAACATGGGGGGGTCGGTATGGTACGACCGGTCGGTATGGGACCACCCTCCCCTATTTTAAATAATTCATGGTTTTTTTCTGGGTTTCAGCGTTTCCCAGTTGAGTTCTGCGGAAACCTTCGCTAAGTTTTTGGTTTTCAAAATAAAGATATCCAACGAAATCCCCACACGCACAGCGCCCAACAAAACCCCATAATACTGGCCATAATCATAATCATTAACCTGATGAGGAAGACAGTTTTTTGCTGTTCTGCTGGCGAAAAAGAAGTCATGAAACCACAGGGATTGCTACATGAGGCGCAAACAAAACAGTTTAATTAAAATTATTATTGTAATTTAATGGAATGTGAGGAATTATTATTTTTATATGGGCCCGACGAACAGGAGCGAAAACAGCCAAAGGACCTTCGCAACAGACGCACACACACACACACTAGCACACCCACCAACCAACACACACATGCACATGGCATAAAAATAAATTACGTTTGTATGAAGATTGGCGCTAGCCCATGCACATCATATATTTTCATTATCAAAACAGAGACAGCACCGAAGTCGCCGGTCGGCAGCGGGGGGTGCGGGGATATATCTCCGATTCGGCGGCAAAAAAATAAAGGATATAGGAAATGCGAGAGGAAAAAAATAGGGAAAAGGCAAAGAAAAATACGAACGAACGCCAGCTGTTTGATGCGATTAGATGGAGAGAAAGAAAAACATTTTCCAGCATCCGCCGGAGCAGAGCGAATTTCCCTTTAGTCACGCTCTCCGGAAAACTGGGAGAATTTCCCGCCTGTTTGCAGAGCCTTTCGGCAGCTCCTCGCCGTCGTTTTGCCTGTTTCCCAACCAGCTCCGCTCGGCTCGCGTTCGGCTTTTCGGATTTTCGGGGTTTCGAGTTCGTGGACGACTCTCTATTTAAAAGAGAAGTTGCGCACGTTGCGGCAGTCAGTCGAAAATCAGACAACGTGCGCGATACATTGCGAACGGGAAAGTGTCGACGCTGCACCACAAATCGAGTCGCACACACACACACACACAGCCCAGCAAAAGTGGGTTCAACCAATGAAAAACAAAAAAAAAGTGATAATAGAATTCGCGCCCGCAGATAAATTGAAATTCATCAAAGGTTCCTACAAGCGCGACGTGTAATCATAAAAAAGAAAATAAACCTTCGAAAGCCACAAGAATTCCGAAAGCGAGTTGAAAAAAATTTAAATACGAGTCGCAAGCAAAACGCCACACAAAGTGCTCGAAAATGTGCCGGGTGTAAGAGAGAAGAAAACACGGAGAGCATAATTAACTAAAGATTCGGGGGGGAAAATAAGGAAAATCTGGCTTGAAGTAGTAGAGGGAGCACAGAAGCCGAAAATATGTGCGCAGACTTTTCTTTGGCCAGCCAGTGGAATTGATTTTCTTTTTCGGTTTCTCCCACAATCCCCCGGTGCAACTTCTACCCCGCTCCCCCCATCCAAACCTCTTCTCTGGTGTCTCTGAGGCCAAGCCAAAGAAACCACTCTAAAAGAACAAACACCAAAATCGCCAAAATGATCTACTATATGCTGTTCATACTGCCCGTCGTCCTGGCCCAGGATCAGCAGCACACGACGGAGTCGCTGTCGAGCAAGCACCAGCACATCTCGCACTCGAATGCGATAATGGGTGAGGCCGGGGTCTCCAACTCCCAGCTGATGCAGCCCTCGAGTCCGGCGCGCACCCTGCGACCTCTGACCCCGGGCTCCGGAGTGGGCGACCCCGCGCTGTACGACGCCCCCGACGACTGCCACTTCATGCCGGCCGCTGGCCTGGATCAGCCGGAGATTGCGCTCACCTGCAACCTGAGGACCGTGAACAGCGAGTTCGACACGACGAACTTCAGTGTGATTCCCGCGGAGCACACGGTCGCCCTGCACATCCTCTGCAACGACGAAATCATGGCCAAGAGCCGCCTGGAGGCGCAGTCCTTCGCCCACTTGGCCAGGCTCCAGCAGCTGTCCATCCAGTACTGCAAGCTGGGCCGACTGGGTCGCCAGGTCCTCGATGGTCTCGAGCAGCTGCGGAACCTCACCCTGCGCACCCACAACATCCTATGGCCCGCCTTGAATTTCGAGATCGAAGCGGATGCCTTCTCGGTCACCCGCAGGCTGGAGCGACTGGATTTGAGCTCGAACAACATCTGGTCCCTGCCGGATAACATATTCTGTGCCCTATCGGAGTTGTCGGCCCTTAACATGAGCGAGAATCGCCTGCAGGATGTCAACGAGCTGGGCTTCAGGGATCGCAGCAAGGAGCCTGTGAACGGTTCCACCGAGTCCACTTCCACCACAGAATCGGCCAAGAAGGGCAGTGGTTCCAGCACAAGTTGCTCCTTGGATTTGGAGTATCTGGATGTGAGCCACAATGACTTTGTCGTCCTGCCAGCGAATGGCTTTGGCACTCTGAGGAGGCTGCGCGTCCTGTCGGTGAACAACAATGGCATCTCCATGATTGCCGACAAGGCGCTCAGTGGCCTGAAGAACCTGCAGATCCTGAACCTGAGCTCCAACAAAATCGTGGCCCTGCCCACCGAACTGTTTGCCGAGCAGGCCAAGATTATCCAGGAGGTCTACCTGCAGAACAACTCGATAAGTGTGCTGAATCCGCAGCTCTTCTCGAATCTGGATCAACTGCAGGCCTTGGATCTCTCCATGAACCAGATAACCTCCACCTGGATCGATAAAAACACCTTTGTTGGGTTGATTCGTTTGGTTCTGCTCAACTTGTCGCACAATAAGCTGACCAAACTGGAGCCCGAGATCTTCAGCGATTTGTACACCCTGCAGATTCTGAACCTGCGCCACAATCAGCTGGAGAATATTGCAGCCGATACTTTTGCCCCGATGAACAATCTGCACACTTTGCTGCTGTCGCACAATAAGCTGAAGTATCTGGACGCATATGCTCTGAATGGACTGTATGTGCTGTCGCTGCTTTCGCTTGACAATAATGCCCTGATTGGCGTGCATCCGGATGCCTTCCGGAACTGCAGTGCCCTGCAGGACCTCAATCTGAATGGCAATCAGCTGAAGACCATTCCGCTGGCCCTGAGGAATATGCGCCATCTGCGGACCGTGGATCTCGGCGAGAACATGATTACCGTGATGGAGGACAGTGCTTTCAAGGGCCTGGGCAATCTCTATGGCCTCCGCCTGATTGGCAACTATCTGGAGAACATTACCATGCACACGTTCCGGGATCTGCCCAGCCTGCAAATCCTGAACCTCGCTAGGAATCGCATCGCTGTCGTGGAGCCAGGAGCCTTCGAGATGACCTCCAGTATTCAGGCCGTGCGCTTGGATGGCAACGAGTTGAGTGATATTAATGGTTTGTTCAGCAACATGCCATCGCTCCTCTGGCTGAATATATCCGACAATCGTCTGGAGACCTTTGATTATGGCCATGTTCCATCCACCCTGCAATGGCTGGATCTGCACAAGAATCGCCTGAGTTCCCTATCCAATAGATTCGGTTTGGATGCCGAACTCAAACTGCAAACCTTGGATGTGAGCTTCAATCAACTGCAGCGCATTGGACCCAATTCTATTCCCAACTCCATAGAATTGCTGTTCCTGAACGACAACCTGATAACCACTGTGGACCCAGATACCTTTATTCACAAAAGCAATCTCACTAGGGTGGATCTTTATGCCAATCAGATAACCACACTGGATATTAAGTCCCTGAGGATTCTGCCAGTTTGGGAGCACCGACCACTGCCAGAGTTCTACATTGGAGGAAATCCCTTCACCTGCGACTGCAACATCGACTGGCTGCAGAAGATAAACCACATTACTTCGCGCCAGTATCCCAGGATAATGGATCTGGAGACCATATACTGCAAGCTGCTGAACAACAGGGAGCGGGCGTATATCCCCCTGATCGAAGCTGAGCCCAAGCACTTCTTGTGCACCTACAAAACCCACTGCTTCGCAGTTTGCCACTGCTGTGAATTTGATGCCTGCGACTGCGAGATGACCTGCCCCACCAATTGCACCTGTTTCCACGACCAGACTTGGTCCACCAACATTGTGGAGTGCTCGGGAGCAGGCTACTCCGAGATGCCGAGGCGAGTGCCCATGGACACCACTGAGCTGTATATCGATGGGAACAACTTCGTGGAGCTGGCAGGCCACTCCTTCCTGGGTCGCAAGAACCTGGCTGTGCTGTATGCCAACAACTCGAACGTGGCCCACATATACAACACCACCTTCAGCGGATTGAAACGCCTGTTGATCCTGCACCTGGAGGACAATCACATCGTCAGCCTCGAGGGCAACGAGTTCCACAACCTGGAGAACCTGAGGGAGCTCTATCTGCAGTCGAACAAGATAGCCAGCATCGCCAACGGCAGCTTCCAGATGCTGAGGAAGCTGGAGGTGCTGCGCCTCGACGGCAATCGCCTGATGCACTTCGAGGTCTGGCAGCTGAGCGCCAATCCCTACCTGGTGGAAATCAGCCTGGCCGACAACCAGTGGAGCTGCGAGTGCGGCTACTTGGCCAGGTTCCGGAACTACCTCGGCCAGAGCTCCGAGAAGATTGTGGACGCGTCGCGCGTGAGCTGCATCTACAACAATGCCACCAGTGTCCTGCGGGAGAAGAACGGCACCAAGTGCACGCTGCGCGATGGAGTGGCCCACTACATGCACACCAACGAAATCGAGGGACTGCTCCCGCTGCTCCTGGTGGCCACCTGTGCCTTCGTGGCCTTCTTCGGCCTCATCTTCGGACTCTTCTGCTACCGCCACGAGCTGAAGATGTGGGCCCACTCCACCAGCTGCCTGATGAACTTCTGCTACAAGTCACCGCGTTTCGTGGACCAGCTGGACAAGGAGCGACCCAACGATGCCTACTTCGCCTACAGTCTGCAGGACGAGCACTTCGTTAACCAGATTCTGGCCCAGACTCTCGAGAACGACATCGGCTACAGGCTGTGCCTGCACTACCGGGATGTGAATATCAATGCCTATATCACGGATGCCCTGCTGGAGGCCGCCGAGAGTGCCAAGCAGTTCGTGCTGGTGCTGTCCAAGAACTTTCTGTACAACGAGTGGAGTCGCTTCGAGTACAAGAGTGCGCTGCACGAGCTGGTGAAGCGCAGGCGGCAGGTGGTGTTCATCCTGTACGGCGACTTGCCGCAGCGAGACATCGACATGGATATGCGCCACTACCTGAGGACGAGCACCTGCATCGAGTGGGACGACAAGAAGTTCTGGCAGAAGCTCCGCTTGGCCCTGCCCCTTCCGAATGGCCGTGGCAACAACAACAAGCGCGTGGTCTCCGGCTGTCTGACGGGTCGCACACCCTCGGTGAACATGTACGCCACCAGCCACGAGTACCAGGCCGGGAACGGTGCGGTCATAGCCCCGCCCAGTGCCCGCTACGCGGACTGTGGTAGCAACAACTATGCCACAATCAACGAGTGCAACGGCGGCGCAACGGCGGGCAGGGGCTACAAACCGATTCCCACTTCCGCCTCGGCGGCGGCGGCCGCCAACAAGTTCAACACGATGAACCAGCTGTCGAAGAAGCAGCAGCGCGACCTCAGCGTGGTGGGGATGGCCAAGACCCTGGAGCACCAGCACCACCACAACCACCCGGCGAACCGGCGGAGCCAGCACGAGTACGCGGTGCCCAGTTACCTGCCGAGTGGCGCGGCTCCGGCCTACGACAGTGTGGACTACGCCAAGCAGCAGATGCGGAGCAACGCCAACTGCGAGTGCGTCAATCTGGGAACGGGCAAGCGCTCGCAGGTGAAGAACCCCGCCTCCGGGCTGCCCTCCAGCTTCAGCTCGAACTTCGTGCCACCCGGTGGGGCATCGTACAACTGCAAGAAGTCCTGCAACTGCATCGGAGACGAGGATCTGCTCTGCAGCTGCGGCGGAGGAGGAGGCATCGGGGCGAATCTCCTGGAGAGCGGCACCCAGAGCAGCGTCACCATGAGCAGCAGCAGCAACAACAGCCGCCAGCCGGAGCTCACCCACTACGAGTCCAACTTGAGCCTGAACGACGACGAGGACGAGGATCAGGATCAGCAGAAGAACCTGTGGGCGTAACGGGGTTAAGTCTAGGGGTTAATTTAAAAAAAAAAAGGAAAACAAAAAACAAAAACAACAGCAGGAGACAGACTGCGCAACCAGTGAATTTATAAAAAATAATTGAACACTCTAAACTAAACATAAACTATTAATTAAAGATGAGATATATAGTATATGAAGAGGCAGGCAGTTAGCATACTTTTGGGATGGTTCGAACAGACTGATACTTTTAGTTCTTTAAATAAATTACAATTGATAACCCTGTAAATAGAACCAGAGAAGGAGAAAAACTATACCTTAAATGAGATTTCAATAATTTAACCATTGTATAAAAAAGACACGAAACGGTTTTTACATTAGGGCCTGTACATAATTATAAATATAAAACAAGTCTTTAATTTATTTAATATTACATAGCTACCACGAATATAAGAAACACCATGTTGAATAAAAATAAATGTATGAGAAACAAAAAAAAAACACGAACAGTGAAAGAATCCCAATCATTTTCCCACTCTCCCCAGTTTTTCCAGTTACAACCCCCTCACGACATCATCAGATAGCCAGGAAAATTAATTAGCATGTAAGGAAATTGTACGATAAACATCAAACAATGCGATTGGTAAACATGCAAAAGGAGCAGAAACAGGGCAAAATTCGCACCCACAGAGCGCGTGAAAAAGCGGCAAACAATAAAAAGTCATAATAATAACTGCGATGAAAAAACACACACACACACAGAGAGAATATATACGCGTAATAATAATATTAATAGCTGACACTCAACGAATTGAAAATAAAATTATAGTAAATCATACCCCCTTTCACAACCCATCGCATATTCATTCAGCCCTGGAAATGCGATAATGATGAGCCAGCCGACCGCCCGATGAAGCTGCCGTTGATAACAATTAAGCTCCCAAGCGAAACCCGATCGGAAAATATGAATAAAACGCAATGCAGTTTCGGGCTTAATGGTTTCGTATTTTTTCATTCAAATAACACCAGTTACAATTCGCATAAAAAGTAGGCTTGTCCGGGCGATTTATAGGACTGTCTGGAAAGCAATTACAATTTACAACGACTTTTCCATTATTTCCTATTCAAATTAAAATTTTTTTCTTCTACATCCCTTTGATTACATTTAAACTACATATTTTTTCGCAAATGAAAATATTTGCTTTAAACTTTTGTTAATTTCAATAAATATTCAAGAGCTTTTTTATTTAAATACCATTTTTTTAACTCATACTTTAATATAACATGTTTTAATGTTTCACTCAAGCCTAATTTGTAATAATTAACGCCTCAAACAATACGAGCCAAAATATAATCCTTGTTTCCTTCCTCGATTTGCACTTGATGTTAATTTCAAAAGTATATTTACCATTGATGTATAATACTTTTTTCTGACTTTATTTCCGCGCGCAACATTCACACCAATTGGTAAAAGAATCTGTCAGAAAAAGAAAAATAAAACAAAACAAACAATCAATTGAGCATGCTTTCAGTTTTTTTTTTTTTTTGTGCTGAAATGCTGTGTTCTGTTCATACAAAGCATTTAATGAAATTATTTAATGGCATGCCATTAAAATAACAAAAGAGCAAATAAGAACAACAGCAACATATTGATTGAAAAGGGAGCAGGAACAGCAGCAGTAATCGGAACGGGAGCATTATTATTATTTTACATATTTTTTCATTATGCAAACAATAAATAAAACATACATGAATAAATAATATTTTCGCATGTCTGGCTGCAAAATGTACATATATAAATACCTATACGTATGTAAACAAAAAGAAGAAGTTTCATGAACTTAATACAAAAAAGCGATCCCAAATGAATTTATTAAAAAAACTTAAAACCCAAAAAAACAACAGCAAAGCAAATGGCCTACAACAATTGAGATACTACTAATAAATATTCAATAAGCATTATACTTATAGACTACAACACTGATTAAGCAGCAAAGAGAAAGTAATTGATTTTTTGTTTAGTCTTATTTTTGTACAGAATCCGTCTTGAATCCCCTGCAAAACAAAAATAAAGAAAAGTTACTCGCAAAAGTTTTAGCTAAATTTAAATAAGCAAGAACATCCAATGGTAATAAATTGCCATTTAAAATAAAATTTCACTTAAAACCAATTAAACCCAATTTTAAATCTCAATTTTATAGAATTCACAAGATGAAAAACCAAATATTACATTTTAAAGTTCAAGCATTTCAAATCACGTTTACTAATTTTTTTAACACATTTCATTCCCGATCACTCACAAAATCAAATGCAACGATGTTAGACCAGCAGAAAAGTGACAGAATACCGATAAATATGGAGAAATACTTTATAAGATTTTTGTGTTCCTAAATGCCACTTATGCAAATTAATGTCGATTTCTATGTATACATACGAAATATTAAGCCGCGGCTGCAAAAAAATGTGAAAATATATTTCTCATTTGACAATTTTTGTTTAAAATGAACATGGCCCATTATTTAGTATGTAAGTGGAAATTTATTTTAAATAATCGCAAAACTAACTGAAAACGCGACAGAAGAGAGGCGAAAAATAGACTTAATGAAGTCAAAAAAGAAACAAAACAATATGAAGTCAAGCAACAATAATAAACAAATTTATTTCAAAAAATTTAAAACATTAATAGAGTTTTCTTATTGGGATGGGAAATGTGCAATTTTTCTAACGAAACTGGGAGAAGGTATAAAAAAATGTATAGAAAATATAATCAATGCGGTAAGAAATACATTTTTGAATGAGCAGCAAGCATTTAATTCTATCTGCAAAATTGTTTATCTTTATTCTGAAATCTTTATTGTTCAAAAACTTCACACAGTTATTCAAAGTTTAATGTTTCGATTTGTTATAAAAAAACACTTGCGTCTTTGTTATGGTAAATCTCATAATTAATCATATGTGTGGATGAGGTGGTCATTAGTACAATAATAATAATAAACCCCCGATAACTGAAACCGTACACAAATGAAGTCTGCTCTTCGCCTGCGAGTCGCTTTGTGTCTGTGTGGCGAGTGTGTTTGAATTCACTCTGAGTGCATTTCGCGTGCCACTTGATACAACCGCAAGCAATTCATATTCATATGAAAAGTGCTCAACAAACACACACTTGCAGAGAAAGAAACCAATGGAAAGTCGAATAATGGATCTGTGAAAATAATTTTTATTCTACTAATTATTAAACAACTGATTAAAATATATTTAAATCAAAAAGTCAGAAAAAAATAATTAAATGCATAAATAGTTGATTCAGTACACAAATGAATTTGAATCTAAAATAGGTACGGATATGTCTAAGGTATTAAATAAGATTTCCTTGTTGTAAAAATAATATTTTAGAGCTCCTTTTAACTGCATTTTCTCCTGTGTAGCCACACGCATTACGCAATGTTATCCCAGTTTCCCCGACTTTCCGCACTCGGCTCCTGTTCCTGTTTATCCTTCCTGTCCTGTCGAGGTGTTGGCACGCACTTTTACATCGAGTGGATGGCAAAGAGAGACCGGATAAGAGGGCGGGGTGCTGACCACACCCATTTTGGCCTGGTCGGTGTGCTCCTCGCAACAGGATAACATGAACTATGCATGCAGCTCAAAGCGGGATTAAGAGACACACACACAAAATTTAATTTCATATAATTGCTTTTTCCAAAGTCCATTTAAATTATAATGCCTGCAAAGGGGGCGATGGTTTGGGGCTAAAAAGTGGGTGTGGCCTGGTGTTGATGCATATTTATGGCATACGCAGACAGTCGTCGATGAATCGGTATTCCTTTGATTTGTTGTTCCCGCATTCCTCGAATGCAGTCGCTTTCAGCATTCGCAGTCGCAATTAGACAGCATTTTCCATCATCGGCAATAATTCACAGTCATGGACATGAATTTTTTCGCAGCAGTTTTTTTCCACTGTTTGCGTTGCGTTACTTCAGTTTATTAATGCAATGCAATTAGTGAAAATTTGTCAGTTAATGGCAGGCAACAGCAACGAAATAAATAATCTGCCCTCTCTAGGCGTGTCCCAATTTTAATGCATTTTAGCAATAAATAATAACACACACGCTAGGACAAACGCACACGAATAATAGATAGCGAATAAATTAATGCAATTTCTATGGCAAAAGCTCATTAATAAATTGCCGAAATTAAAAGCTTTTTATTTTATCAGCATGGAAATACTAAATATGGCACAATATTTGGGTGACACAAATTAAGTCAAACAAAACTGGGCGCCATACACAAATAAACAGAACGATATCCAGAGCATGAGGGCAGCCGTAGTCGAATAATTACAATTATGGTTGAACAATCTCTTCAGCTGAGCTCCGCAATTACACAATTAACTGCCAGAGTTTTGTGGCCAGCTCTCAAAAACATTTAAGTTGAGGAATACCAAGTTGTGTGGTAAGCCTTTAGGGAAAATTAAAAAATAATTCACATTAACTATTAGAAGTTTGAAGGATACCAGAGATTAGTGAAAATTATTACTTTCTTAAAGCTACATTTTAAAATGTAACAGAAAACTATGCATTAGATTCATGAAACCATAGATGGCTAGCTAAAATACTTTAATTGTTGGAGTGGTTCTCCGGAAATGTACTCATTCCCCCAACTGCAATCACTTAATTATTTCGGTCTACTTCAAAATACCACTCGAACAACCTTGTCCACTCTTGTCTCCTTTATTCGGAGGTGCAAAAGTCATTCATTAATTTGATTTGAATCTACCGAGCTCGGCAATCTGATGAGGTCACAATGGGGCCAAGCCAAAGTGTGGGAGTGTAGTCCATATTTCCCAAGATCCTTGTGCTGCTCTCACAATTTTGCCTTAGTTTCGGCACACTACGTAGAAATCCGAAAGAGCTGAGCATAATTATGTCATGTGCTTATGTTTTATGCTTGCGTTTGCTTAATTGTGAATTATAACCTCATAATTTAGGCCGAGACAAAGGTGGGGAGTGGTTGTTGGGCTGTTTGGCTGTTGGGTTAACAGCATTTTAATACTCCCACCCGGGGTGGCTATATATCAGCTGCCACGCCCACTCAAGGTCCTTTTGTGCTCTCAATAAAAATCTCATTCGCTGACGCATAACTTTTACTTTTAATTAGTTGTATTATCTCCCTTGTCGGTTGCTAATTGCTTTATTGCTCGACTTGTCTACTGGCTTCCTTCGAATTTCGCCTCTCCGTGTTCGATATCACTTTTGTTTTGTTTTCCTTCGCGTCCTGTCGCTTAATTTGAAATCTTTTTGTCGCAGTTTTATCAGCGCCACCACCACCACACAACCACCCACCCATCCACCCACCACCCACCGAACTTTGGCGCCCGCTTCGGTGTCCTTGCGGACAGTTATTGATTTTTAGTCGTCTTGGCTTTGGCTTTTTGGCTGCAAAATGAAAACCAAAATCTGCTGCCATCAAGTCAAGTCAGCTGCTGGCAATTCATAAAAGCC